AGATAGATACCCACAGCTGGGGCAGCCTGAGGATTTCAGATTTTGCTTCCCAGGTTGAATCCTTCAAGACAGGTGGCTCTGGAGTAGAATGCAGCTGGTGTTGCCTGCACTGGTCAGTTTTTCCTTCCCTCCCCCTCCCCCTCCCCCTCTCCCTTTGTGCTGGGGATGGAACCCAGGGCCTTATGCATACTAGGCAAGGGCTTTACTACTTTACAACTGAGCTATAACTCTAGTTTCTGTTCTGTTTGTTGTTTTCTTTGAAACAGAATATCCTTATGTATCCGAAGCTCGGAAGCTGGCCTGAAACTCATGTAAGCAGTCCAGGCTGGCCTCGAGCTCACAGTGATCCTCTTGCTTTAGTCTCTCAAGTGCTAGGATATCAGGCATATGTCATGCCTGGCTTTAATTTCCCCTTGCTAAATTTTTGTTTGTTTGTTTGTTTGTTTTGAGACAAGGTCTCCTTGTATCCCCAGCTGGCCTGGAACTCACTATATAGACCAGCCTGGCCTCAATCTCATAGAGATCCACTTGCCTCTACCTTCTGAGTGCTGAGATTAAAGGCGTGCTTGACTCCTTGCTTGATTTTTTTTCTTCTAAGTACACATTGGGGGACTGGAGAGATGGCTCAGAGATTAAGAAGACCCAAGTTTGCCTCCTAGCATCCAAGTCAGGTGGCTAAGGACCGTCTGTAACTCCTGCTCCAGGGGATCAGATACTTCTGGCCTCCACCAGCACCTGCATTCATGTACATATATTCGCATACAGATACACAGACTCACATAATTAAAAAAATAAAATTTGGATCAGCAAGATGGCTCAGTATGTAAAGGCACTTGCCACTAAGTCTGACAACCGGAGTTCAATCCCTTGGACCCACATGGTAGAAGGAAAGAACCAGCTCCCAAAAGTTGTCTTCTGCCCTTCGTTTGCATGTGGCACACACATATGCACACACAAATACACAAATGTAGTAAAAACTCCACATAATGTAGTTTATGAAAACAGAAGCAATTAAGTCCTACTGTTCACAGCCTTAAGAAGAGGCTGTTGCCAGCTCCATGGAGACAATGCTGGAGTGCCTTTGCTTTTTGTCATGGTCATGGATGTGTAAATCAGTTTCTTCTCTTCCTGGAAACAAGTGACTTATTGTAGGAATAATTTTTACAATACAGACACGCATAACCTGGACTAAAGACTTTTACCTAACCTTGGAACCAAAAGTTACTGTTTGTAATATAAGCAAACTCGCTGAGCTATGTGTTCCTCTTATGATCAGAGAGAGCACCTGACCTTAATCCCGAAGGACACCTCCTTGCCCTCCACCCAAAACAGATTAAGATAGAGAATGTACATAGGCATTGCATATCAAAGTGCTGAAAGCAGTGTGTTTGTAGTTGTGTGTGTGTGTGTGTGTGTGTGTGTGTGTGTGTGTGTGTTAAAGTCTAGGTCTAGGGATCAAAGGGCAAGATTCTCTGATAAGATGAAGGTGGGTCCTGTCTTCTACTTTTTCACCTTGCACGTGTTGTTTCAATAAAAGAATGAGTGAAGCCCTGCTGGGGCCACAGTTCCGATGGACATCTGCAGGAGCTGGTGGTGCTCAGCAGTTCCTGTCCTCTCTTGGCCTTATTAGTGTCAACAGGCAGGCTGTGTCTTTACTCGGGAATAACCGTAATGTGGCTTAGAAACACCACAATTTATGAAAGTGTCTTAAAATCTTTCACTAAGAAAAATTAAACCAGAATTCCTTGGGCATAATAGGTAATTCATGAATTTATTATTGAATTGGAGGTACTGTTTGACAGGAAGAATAAAGATAAAGCAATTTAAAGGTGTTATAAGTCAACTAGACACCAGGGTAAAATCCCAGTCCACAGAGTGTTAAGAATAAAAAAAATTTATTTAGAATATTTATGAGATCATGGAGTGTCAAAACACTGTTTAAAGGAGGTTTAATAGATGAAGAATAACTTATTGTGAATCTCATTATTGGTTGTAGTGGCCTCCTTTCCCTCCCTCCTCTTCCTGTATGAATTCCACAGAGGTCATCAGTCACTAAGGCTCAAATTCTCCAAGTGGAATTCAGACCATTTCCATCTGTCAACACCTTCTCATTTCTCAGAGCTTTCAGGAGATGGAACTGCAACTACTCACTTCTCAGAGCACATAGAGCTCTTAACTTGTGTGATGTGGATTTCAGGCTGACGTGAGCAGTAGCTGCCATCCGGTCCACAGGCTTCCTCTTGGTGTGCTGACAGGAGCCACTGGTGTTTCCAGAGACTGGAGGGTCAACAGTGTTGACTCAGAAGTCTTTACCAGGGCTCTGTAGAGGCCCAGGGAAAACCAATTATCTGGCCTAGGTGAAGACCTAACATTCCAAGCTACTCAAAACATAAAAGAATCTAGTTGGGCTAGTCTATTAAGCTGGTCAAGGACCACCCCTCAGAAAAGGCGAACCATCCCTCAGAAAGTGGGGCCTCACCTCTCAGAAGGTGGGCTTACCTTAAGGCATGCTAAGGAGTTAGGAGGAATAATTATCCCTTCCATGAGATAATGTACTTTTCCTTCCCGGTTGCTACAAACCGCCTCGGGATTCTCATGGGTCTGCCTGCCTGAGTCCTGACTTAGGAAGTTGTAACTTTTACCTTTTTCTTCTCTTTTGTCTCTTTTGGATACTGGCCAGAGCCTGTGTGGTTTTTCTGGTATTTGGGGCTTCCTTAGTCTTTCTCTGAATTTCTTCCCTTTCCTTTCCAGCATGTGACTACTTGCGTACCATGTGCTGGCCTAACTCAAGAGCAAGGCCTTCTTCCTTCCTCTTTGCCACCCTCCTTTTCTGGGCAGCTGCTAAGATTTACAGCTTCCTGCTCTGAGATTTATTTATTAATTTTTATTTAGTTAGTTTTTGTGACAGAGTCTCCCTGTAGCCCCAGCTAGCCTGGAACTTGCTATGTAGACCAGGCAGAACTTGATCTAACAGAGATCCACCAGCCTCTGCCTCCCAAATCTCTGATTAAAGGCATGCACTACCACATCAACTGAGATGTTCAAACCCTAATAAATTGTCCTCAAGCTTCCTTTTTGAATCTGTCCTTAATTTTTTTTTATTAATGAGACGAAAAACCTAGAGGTTTCCTCCTTACCATGTGGAAACTACAGAGACTCCCCAAAATTTCTGGTAACGGTGTTATTGATCTACAACAACTGATCATATTTAACAATGAAAATGATCAGGTTACAGTGTGAGCTGCATGGGGTGGTACAGGACTGTCATCTTAGCCAATTAGGAGGCTGAGGCAGGGAGATTGCAAGTTTAAGCTCTTCATGGGCTACAGAGTAAATTCATGGCCAGCCTAGACAACCTAGTGAGACCCTGTCTCAAAATAAAAAACAGAGCTGGTGAGATGGCCCAGCAGGTAGAGACACTGGCTGCCTGACAACTTGATTTTGATACCTGGGACCTACAAGGTAGAAGGAGAAAAATGATTTTTGCGTTATCCTCTGCCCTACACACACACACACACACACACACACAATAAGAAAGAAAAAAACATGACTGGATGACTGGAGATATGACTAAATGCAGAATACTTGTCTATCATGTGTGAAGCCTTAGGTTGAATCTGTACTGCAAGATAAATAAATCCCTAAATAAATAAAAAATAAATTACAATGCAATGCACTTCAATAAGGTAAGCAACTTGAGTCCCCAAATCTTTTCTGTTTTATTTATACAGTGCTACTAGAACATCGTTTACTTTAATCCCAGCACTTGAGAGGCTGTGAGTTCAAGGCCAGCCTGGTCTACATATGGAGTTACAGGCCAGCTGGTGCTACAGGGAGACCCGATCTCAAAAAAAAAGAGAGAGATCATTCACATATTAGTACAGGAAAAGAGTCTCACCTGGTACTCCAGTGTGAACATGACCTTGAGTATTCAGTCTGTGGTTTTCTTCTAAAGGCTTTTTGCTCCCACAGCAAGTGAAAGCCTGACAGGAGATGACCTGTGATAGTCTAGTGTTTATTATGGTAATGAAGTACCTGAGGCCTAGTGACTTTATAAAGAAAAGAGGCTTACTGAATTCATACTTCTGGAGATTCAAAGTGGGGGTCCATACCATGGGATGGCCTTTAAAATTTTTATTACATTTATTTATTTATTTATTTATTTATTCATTCATTTATTTATTTATTTATTTTGGGGCTCACATGCCATGGCACACATGTGGAGATCAGAAGACAACTTACAGGAGTTTGTTTTCTCCACCATGAAAGCCCCAGGGATCAAACTCAGGTCAAGCTTGGGGGCAAGTGCCTTTCTCCACTGAACCATCTCGCCAGCTCTGAGAAATCTTTCTTTAAAAAAAAAATGTGTGACAGAGACATGACAACACATCACAAGCATCTTCCAGAGGAAAGGGACAGGAGAACAAATGTGGGATCAGAGCGATGGAGCTTTGGGGTTGAACAGTATCACCCAATGTGGTGGTATGCTCCCTGTGTCTCAAGGTTGTGATGCCAGCCTGAGTGGCTCAACTCACTGGCCTTGGTCCCAGCTGTAGTCCCAAGTCCTGGAGGCTGGAGGACGTGCAGTCACTGTCATTAAATTCAAGCTTTCTTCTGTATATCAATACAGACTGTCCCTTAAGGGCAACTCAGTAAATAAATGTTATCAGTGGAATTAATTTAAAATATTTTTTTAACTTTGAAAAGTTACATTTATGCATGTATGTATCGATGTATGCATATGTTTATTTTTATGTGTATGTGTGTCTGTGCTGCATGGAGAATATGTAAAGGTCAGAGGACAGCTTGCAGGAGTTGGTTCTCACCTCCAACCATGTGGGTGCTGGGGAACAAATATAGGTTGTCAGGCTTAGCAGCAAGTGCTTTTACCCCCTGAGCTATTTCATCAGCCCTCGACTTAAAATCTTAATCATAGTGGCAACCTGTGGCTAATGAACACACCTTCCCAATCTTTTCCTTTCTCTGTGTTTTTGATAAAGGGACCATCTAGAGGCTGCAGGACATGCGTGCATTCTGAGAGATGCCTTTGACTTTGACAGCCCATCTGAAATTGCCAACCTCATCATGGAGGAGAACCTGGAAGCAGCACTGGCCCTTCACCTCTACCGAGGAGGCAGACTTCTGCAAGGTACCCATCACATAGGGGCTAAAAAATACCAGCATCTACACTATCCCAAATACCAAGAACAGTGTGTCCCATTTTCCACCACCACATTGAAGGAATGTACAGTGTCTCTGATTTGCTTTTCTATTGAGCAATTTTTTTCCAGATTAGATATTGATGCTTTTCTATATAAAGGTATCATCCTGAAGCCAGGTGTGGTAGTATACACCTTTAATCCTAGCACAGTCTCTCACAAAGCCCTGGGTTGGAACATCTGCATCTACCTGGCTCATTCACTCAGCTGTAGGCAGGAAGCCTTCTTCCTCCTAACAGGCTTCTCCATAGGTGGTGGGTTTAGTTTCTTTTCCTGTTGCTGTGATAAAATACCCTAACAAAAACAACTTTAGAGAGAAATGGTTGATTTGGCTCACAATTCCAGTTACAATTCGTCATTGTGGGAAAGTCAAGGCAGGAACTTGAAGCAGCTGTCACATCACATCCATAGTCTAGAGCAGAGAGACACAAATGCATTCATGCTTATTCATGTTCAGCCCCCTCTTTATGCTCACATAGTACAGGACTCCCTGCCTAGGGAATGCTGCTACTCACAGTGGACTGGGTCTTCCCACAGCAATTAACCTTAGTAATTAAGACAATCCTCCACAGATACACCTACCAGCCAACCTGATCTAGGCAATCCCTCATTGAGAGGGATTCTACATTATGTCAAATTAACAATTAAGATGAATTATCACTGGTAGTTTGAGTGACTTTAGACAAGGTGGCCAGCTTCTCCCACAGAGAACATTCCAGAGAGAGAAAACTAGAAATCACTTTCTCAGAAGTCAATCAACATACAGGCATGGGTCTGTGTGCTTGTAATTCCAGTTCTTGGGAGGTGGAGGCAGGAGGATTATAAGTTTGAGGTTAACTTGGCCAAGTTCTTAGCACATTTTAAGAACACCTAGAGATACTCTGTCTCAAAAGAGGAAAATCTTAGTGATTTCCACAGTGTCAAGCAGACCCAGGTGTTGGCCTAAGTGCAAGTGCTTTCAAAGGTCAGAGGCATTGAATCCCCTGGAGTTGGAGTTATAGGCAGTTGTGAACCAATCAACATGGGTACTGGGTTTTGAACTCAGATCCTCTGCAAGAGCAGTATATGCTCTTAACTTTTGAGCCATTCCTCCAGCCCCTTATTTATATTTCTTAATATTTATTTGCTTTGTGTGTGTACATGCCACAGTGCATGTGGAGGTCAGAGCACAACTTGGGGAAGTGGGTTTTCTCTTGGACCATGTGGGTCCTAGGGATCAAACTCAGGTTGTCAGGCTAGTGGCAAGTGATTTAATCTGCTGAGCTATCTTGCTGGCCTTCTACCTTATTTTTTGAGACATAGTCTTACTGAGCCTGAAGCTTATCATTTAGGCTAGGCTGGCCGGCCAGTGAGCTTTAGGGATCTGCTTGTTCCCCAAGAATGGGATCACAGGCTTATGCTGCCACACTTTGCTTCTCTCGTGGGTTCTGGGCATCTGAACTTGGATTCTTGTGCTTTCATGGTAGGTATTTGACCAACTGAGTCATCCTGTAGCCTGTGTTTTATGTTTGTTTGTTTGTTTGTTACAGAGTTTCATATAGCTCAGGCTGGCCTCATAGCCACTCTGTAGCTGAGAATAAGTTTAAACTCCTGATCTTTCTGTCTCCACTTCTGGAGTCCTGGGATCACAGGTGTACACCACTGCACCTGGCTCCTCATCCATTCTTTGAAGATACCATAGTTTGACATCTTCAATGAATAGATGGTTAAATTTTCTATGATTATTTTTTTCTTCTTCAACCATTTCAACAGTGTTTACACATACACTTGGGTGTGAACATGGGAGAACATAACTACTGTTGTGTTGTGCTGACCCCCATCTCACTTACCAAAATCAGCTGTTTTCTGGAAGTGAGGACAGTGTTCCTGAAGGAATTATTCTGAGGGTTGAGCTCATGGCTCAGCAGGCAACCTATTTGCCATGCAAACATGTATCATGCAATGTCAAAGGAGGCCAGAAGAAGGTTTCAGATCCCTCGGAATGGGAGTAACAGACTGTTGTTAGCCACCATGTGGGTGCTGGGAACCAAACCTGAGTCTTCTGCAAGAGCAGCCAGTGCTCTTAACCACTGAGCCATCTCTCCAGCCCTTTGATTTTAGATTTTTTAAAAAATGTTTTATTTAGCCGAGTGTGGTGGTGCACGTCTTTAATCCCAGCACTTGGGAGGTAGAGGTAGGTGGATTTCTGTGAGTTCAAGGCCAGCCTGGTCTACATAGTGAGTTCCAGGACAGCTGGGGCTACAGGGAGACCCTGTCTCAAAAAGACAAAAAAAAAAAAAAGTTTTATTTGTATTTTGTTTGTTGTTATTGTATATGTGTGCATATATGATGTGCTAGTGTGCCATCGTACATGTGCAGAGGCTAGAGGACATTGTGAAGTCCGTGATCTCCTTCCTTTAAACAACATTTTATTAATTCTTTGAGAATGTCAGACAATATATTTTGATGATATTCACTCTTATCTCCTCCCTGCAACTCCTCAGCTCCTCACTCCTTACTCCCCAATTTTCATGTCTTTTTTAAAAAAATTAGTTTATTTTAATTTTTTTATTTTTGTAACCCATTGGCTTTAATTTGTGCTGAGCATAGGTGTGGGGCCATCCACTGGAGTGTGGTTTACCTATCAGGAGTCACACCCGTAAAGAAACTGCTTCTCCCTCCTCTAGAACCCACCAATTGTCTGTAGCTCCGCACTCTTCTTCCACTTTTATGTGGGTTCCAGGGATCAGACTCAGGTCATCAGGCTTGCAGGCAAGCACTTTTACTGAGCCATCTTGCTAGCCCTTGATTTTTAGATTCTAAAAAAAATTTATAGTATTTTCATATGTATAATGAGATATTTGGAGGACAGCTAAACTTAAATATGAAATTTATTTGAGTTTCTTGCCCATCCACCTTGTATATATGTTCTAAGGTCATTTTAGGTTTTATACTGGGGGTGTGTATTGTGTTTTTTTGAGATAAGAGTCTCAAGTGCCTGAGGCCAGCTGGATAGTAATGGAGGATGACCTTGAACTTCTCCACAGCTTAATATGGAGGATGACCTTGAACTTCTGATCCTCCTGTAATTCCGAGTGCTGGGATTACAGATGTGGGCTACCATGCCATTTATGGTATGCCATTTATGGTTCCCCTAGCTGGGGAACCAGCCAGGACCTCATGAATGCCAGGGAACTGCATCCCCAGGCCCCAAGGTAATTTAATATGGTATTTTCTGTATTCCCCTCTGGTGATGATGACCTATACTTAAGGTCAGGAGTGGAAGCTTCCACTTGTGGCTTTGTGTCAGTCCTCAAAGACTAGATCATCTCCTTGTTCAGATTTCTGGCCAAAGCCTAATGGCTTCACCTGTATTCCACAGTAAGCACCCTGCCACAGGCTTTCGGCTCCCGGTAATACCACAGTATCTTTATGTCTTGAGTTTGTGCTGAGGTGTTTGTGACACCAGCTCCCAAGTAAAGCCTTGAAGGTGAAGTGCTGTAGTTTTTTATTTTGATTGACACTGACAAATTGCTATCTGGAAAGGTCATTACAGTTCACCTGCAACTAGCAGACCTGCTTCCCTCACTCTATTCTAGGTCCTGGGTTTTGTTGTTTTCTCCTTTAAACTGAAGTTCTCAATTTTGCCACCTTTGACCTCTGCTTTAGATAAACACAAAGACATTAAAATTCTGTTTGCGTCTCCTGAGCTGAGAAGTCCTCTCTGAGCCTGACCTGCTACAGAGGGAAGGAGATCAGCACCCTTGTCTGATCTAACCTAGGCCAGGAGGGGAAGTGACTCGGTGCCACTGTCTGCGTGCCTGCTCACTCCCAGCTGTGTCTTTGTGGAAATGAAACAGCACTGATTCCTCTAGGTTGTCTTTTTGTTCATCTACTAAACATTAAAAATCACATTTTTGAGGGGCTGGAGAGATGGCTTAGTGGCTATTTGTTTATTTTTTTAAGATGGAATCTCATGTACTCTAGGATGGTCTCAGACTCTTAATGTAGCTAAAGAAAGCCTTGAACCAGGGCTGGAGAGATGGCTCAGCGGTTAGGAGCACTGACTGCTCTTGAAGAGGACCCAGGTTTGATTCCCAGCACCCACATGGCAGCTATGAACCATCCTTAACTTCAGTTCCAGGGGAATCCGAAGCCCTCTTCTGACCTCCTCGGCACTGCACAACACGGGTGCACACACACACATGCAAGCAATATACTCACACACATAAAATAAAAATAATAAATAAAATATTTTTTTAAAAAAGCCTTGAACCTCTGACCCTCCTGCCACCACATTGGGAGTGCTGGGATTACAGGCATACACCACTACACTCAGTTTATATGGTACTGAGGATTGAACCCAGGGTTTTGTGTATACTAGGCAAGCATTCTACCTACTGAGCCACATTCCCAGTTCAAGTGTGTATGTATTAACATAAGACGGTAAGTGGAAGATTGATTTTCTTCTTTTTCAAAAAAGTTTTATTACATTTAGTGTGTGTGTGTGAGAGAGAGAGAGCGAGCAAGAGAGAGAGACAGAGACAGAGACAGAGACAGACAGAGACAGAGAGAGAATGTGTGCACATGCCCATGCCATAGCACATGTGAAGTGGAGGTCAGAGGACAATTTGAGTCTGTTCTCCTCTTCCATCACATGGCTTCCGGGATCACACTCAGGTTATCTGGCATGAGCCATCTTGCCAGCCCTGCCTAAACCAGTATGTGCTAAGTGAGGGAATAATCAAATAAGTGCTTGCTCAATAGAATGCTTGGGTCATGGAGAGGAGCACACTTATGTCAGAATAAATGTGAACCATTCCTACATCTTTGTATGGTCTTCCACAGCAAGGTTGGTTATAAGTGATGGCATCTTACTTCCATTATTTCCTCTGAAGTAGAAACAGTGTTCATGTTGATGCTGTCTAGGTGTGCAAGAATGGGTTTCTTT